TAGGGTGGCCGGGGCACATTTTTAGGGGCGGCATTCTGGCGCCGGCCATGCCGCCCTTAAAAATGTGCCGCCCCAAGCACCAGCTTGTTTTGCTGGTGCCTAGAGCCGGCCCTGGGTGGGGGTTAAACAAACTAAAGCTAATGGCAGAAGCAAATGCATACAGAAAATTATTTCAGAAGTCAGATTTCCATCTGAAAAGGTCATAGGTATTACTTGCAAAAATAGTAGCTAAGAATTACTATGGTTATTTGGTGCATTTGACAATATTTTGTGTGTCATTCAATTAATCATTCTATTGATGATCGATGCCACCGGGGGTGGGGATGGGGGTCTTTTCTGCTTGTTACAGCAGCAGCAAAGCAGAAACTGAACATAAAGAGGCAGGACTGTGCAGAGAAAGAAAGGGAAGAGGACAGGAGTGGTAGACCCAGGACCCTTCTAAATATCAATCACAGATTAACAACCACCCCTCCATCCCCCGCATTAAATTGAAGACATACTATATAATTTTAAGTAATCTGACAGAGCACCCTTTAGTCGGTTAAAAAAAAAAATCAAGTTGACAGTGGCCTTTTAACTGTTTGCTCCTTTAAAAAGCGACCCCATTAAGATTAATCTATTCAAAGTAAAAAAAGTTGTTCCTGTCATGATGTGGGTGCAGATGGGAGCAAGGAACTGGGAGAGGCACATGTACCAGCAGATGGAAGTGTTTTATTGGAGGTAACTCAAAGTGACACAGGTAGTCAGCACCATTTCCAGGTGGAGCAAGGCCCTCCAGATTAACTCCTTAAGTGCCTGCCAGTACAGTTTCAGGTACCATAGCTGTCCTAGAGTCACCCTGCCAATTTTTGTGGTTTCCTACATTCCTGTTTTCCTGGTTATTTTAAATGTTTTACTCCCCTTTGTTGATATATGAAAGACCTACACAAACCACATGGAATATTCAGCCTGGAGAAGCAGTGAAACTGACTATACAGACAGTGCTGCCAAACCCACAAAATAAACAAACTGATAAATAGATGCTGCCGCACACTTGTAATTCTGAGAGAGGCTCTCTATCCCAAGTGCTGTGGCAGTGACTACATGGCAGCCCAAATACCTCCCCCTTGCCCAAGGAGCAGAGTCTGTGATTTCACCATCTTTCACTTCAGACCTCTGCAAGAGAAGGCGGAGTATGTGCCGAGTTCCCTGTCCCCGCAGAGATGGAGCTAGATCTCTCTGGTTGACAGTCAACTGTGGAGAACTTTAAAGGAGTAACACAGGCCCAACAGCAGTGCTCCAAAATGGTGCTGCCAGCTGGAACAATTTACCCCTCAGCCTCTGGCTCCCCCAGCTCACCGTACGGAATCACTTTACTCCCAACTCCCCATCCCCTTTGTGGCAGCTCTAAGGGTTTTACTATGGTCCATGTTTGTAACTGCTTTCACTGGGAAGAGATAGGGCAGGATGTGTGGAAACCTGTGATCGCAGGGGGCTCTGTACCCCTTTAGGGTTTCCATGGGTCCCCGCTGGGCACTCCTTTGCTGAGCTGACAAAAATAGAATTTTGAAATGTTGGGTAAGAACAGGAGAAAGCCTCTGGAGTGGAACATATTTCTGAGCTGTATATTTACACTGCCTTTCAGAAGCTATTATGCAGGTATCTTCAGGCACGTTAAATGGAAGAGATTAGCCTTACCTCTGTTTGCACCATTAAAGGTCGATGCATTCGAAGTTCATATACTACTCCATACACATCACTGATGTTATCCATTTCTATTTGCTGGATCAGGCGGTCAATTGCAATGAAAGTACCTGTCCTGCCAACACCAGCACTGCAATAAAATGACTATGCGTTAGACGGAAGTATGATGGCCTTTCACCTATTACTTTCTCTTAATTATATACAACCCAGGGCCTGATGGAAAGCCATTGAAGTTATTAGGAAGATTTCCACTGACTTCAGTGGGCATTGGGATAAAGGCTCTTACAGTCTGTAGGAGTTCTTATTACCATTGTCAGTAGGGCTGTATGATTCCATCTGGGCTCGCAAAACCCATACAAATTATACATAAAGTGCTTTATAAGGCAATTTTTGGTGATGAATTTTCCAGTCAATGAGAGACCCCCAAAAGGACTACAGCAACAAAACCCCTTAATGAACTGTTTACTGTAGGGCAATGCATTTTGGCATCCACACTGTTTTATTGCATTTCTCATGTGTACAGCAAAGGGCCCTTTCATATAGCTTGGCAGGATGAACAATACACATACTTAAATAGTAAAGGTGTTGAGCTTTTTCTACTGCTTGAAATATTTAACTTGCTCTTAAAAGGAAGCCAGTGTGGAATTACTGTACCTGCAGTGCACCAGAGTAGGAGAATCTGGGGGATTTTGTCTAATGTTTTCCTGTACCAGATGTCTAAAGTTAATAAGAAGGTCTGTTGTCTCTGGAACACCATGGTCAGGCCAGGAAGTGAAATGGAACTGGCGTACAGAGTGGCTTTCAGTTGCATCCCTCTAAAAGAACATACATTGAAGATGAGAAATTAGGCCTCAAGAGAACATCACAAAACAATTATGGTAGGAAAATATTTCAGCTAGTTCAGCATTATTACAGTTGCCTCCTGTGAACTGTGCACTACTTTATGGATACATTATTCAGTTTTCTCTTTATGGCTGAGGAAACCCTTTGCCCAGATAAAGGTTTGAAATTCTTCTCTTTTGCCTTTGCCTTTATACTGTGGTCTCTTTAGTGTGTGAGTAAGGCCTTCTCATGTCAGCATGGGTTGCAGGATCACAGCCTGGGCTCTGCATCACTGCTGCTAGTGATCCCATAATGTGACTGGATCCTGTAGACAAATTTTCATGCAGAGATCCCTTAATCACAAATGGGGTCCCATACTGACAATTCATTAGCAGGCCCATCAGAAGGTTATATAATAGAGCACTGAAAGGTCAAATTATGGGTCCAATCAGCAGGTGCACATTTAGTCCCTGACTCCTATTGCTGATACACAGCATGAAACACCTTAATCAGATCTTAAGCAGCAAGGAGACTAGTGCTATCATGTCCCAAATTAAAACAAGCTGTACAATATTTTTCCTTTAGCTAAGTTTACTTTTGTTGTGAAGTCTGCAGGAATGATTGCTTTCCCTATTCTGATTTGACTTGGATGGTGAAGTTTCTCTTCCCAGAGATGCAGTAGATTATTTCTACAAACACATTAGAGTGTTATACACCCAATGAATTACTCACGTCTTCCACTGTGAAGTCTCTTATTGTCCATTCTGGAAGGACATACTCTGAGACCAATGTTACAGTAATGTCATCGTAATAGTTGGATCCTTTGTCTGGCCAATATTCCTCACATTTTGTCTAAAAAGAAAGCGATAATGTTAGCTATACTGTACAGCAGTAATACAGGAGCGCAAAGAAAAAGCAAGGCGGGGGGAAAGCAGTGCAAGGATAAATTGTGTATTTTCCCCTTTTATCCCTAAATTACAGTCCAGCCTAGACTTGAGGACATTCAATAGATAGTTGTAAACCATAATAATCATGATTAACTTTTGGGAAATTAATCAGAAAACAAGGTAATATAATTTACTCATAAAAGATTCTAGATGACAATAGGTTTAAAGCAATACAAAACACAATTCCGTTCCTGATTTTCATTGCTTACTTATGCTTTAGTGTCCTGAGGTATAAAATTTTTCTGTGGTATGGACAAAATGGGTTACATTGATCACTAATGTAACTTTATTGCCCTGTCCAGACACCCTTCTCTGGGGCTGCCAGCAGCACTAGTTACCTCCCTTGTGATGCCTGCAGCTGAACTATGGCTGCCTCCTGTACAAACATACTGGGAAATAGCAGGGTTGGCGAGAGAAGGAGAAAGCTTGCTCCATCTTCCCATCCCAGCGCACCCTGTGCCAAAGCAGTTATAATTTGGCCACATGAATGTCATCTGTTAGATATCGATGGCCTGATTCCAAGGGTTCAGAGTACTCACAGCTCCCACTGACGTCAACAGGAGTCATGGATGCTCAGTACCTCTGAATATCTAGTCAACAGAGGCTTATTCTGCTTGATGCACCTGTCCCACTTACAATTAGTGGGACTTGTGCATGTAAATCTCCCATCCATTGATGGGAGACTCGGCTTCAAAATATTCTGACTCTAACATGAAACAAAGATTGTAATATTTCTTGTATTTATACTTGGCCCCCACCTTGCTCCAAAATAACCCAACTCTGCTGACCTCAGCAGGGAGGATGGGCAGGGTTGCCAGGTCTCTGGGCACCTGACAAAGTTTAAGTTTAATATTTATTTTATTTTAAATATTTTATATTTTTAATCACTTTTGTTTTGAAACGTTAAAGCAAAATTCTGTTTTTGTTTGTTTGTTTTCCCCCAAAATAAAATTTCAGAATTCCCATTCTTTGGGAAATTTCATGGTTTCATTTCAATGCAGAATTTTATTTTATTTTTTGAGATTTCAGAATTTCCTGCAGAACAGGAATTCCAGGTTCCAGTCAGCTGAAAATTCCTCATGTTGTGAAAATTTCTATCCTCATGATTTGTGTTTTAAAATGAAAATGAATCAACAATAGCATGAAGCTACCTGGGTTCAAATATACTTTTTTAAACCAACTTAAACAATAAGAGAAAGGGTAGTTAAGCACTGGAACAAATTACCTACGGAGGTAATGGAATCTCTGTCACTAGAGGTTTCTAAGAACAGGTTACACAAACACCTGTCAAGGATGGTCTAGATAATATGTAGTCCTGCCTTTAGTGCAGAGGACTGGACTAGATGATCTACTGAGGTCCCTTTCAGGTCTCCATTCTTATGATTCTATGACCTTCTGTATATATTGCAAAAGATGCCTTTCTGAAAGGGTTTTTGCAGATGTTTGAAGGCAGTCTCCTGGAACGACAAAGGGCTGGGAAGGGAGCTTTTTTTGCAGAGTTCTTGTCAGACTGATTGTTTAATGCTGCTGGGATTATGTTGTTAATGCGTCGTAGGGCACTGAAGCCTGTACAGCTATCCTTCATAATCACAATAAATAAGTACATTATATTCCAATCTCCCTGGTCACTCAATAACAGACTTAAAAGTGGCAATTCTTCAACAACAAAAAACTTCAAAAACAAACTCCAATGAGAAACTGCAGAACTGAAATTAATTTGCTAACTGGATACCATCAAATTAGGCCTGAATAAAGACTGGGAGTGGATTTGTTAGTCTCTAAGGTGCCACAAGTACTCCTCATTTTTACAAAAACGAATTTCCCCTTGCTAAATACTCACACCTTCTTGTCAACTGTTTGAAATGGGCCACCTTGTTTACATTGGCCTCATTAACACTACAAAAGTGATTTCCACTCCTTCTGCTTGTCAACTCTTGAGAATAGCCTACTTCAAACTTAATTGAATTGGCTCATTAGCCCTGACCCCCCACTTGGTAAGGCAACTTCCATCTTTTCATATGCTGTGTATTTATACCTCCCTACTGTATGTTCTACTCCATGCATCTGATGAAGTGGGTTTTAGACCATGAAAGCTTATGCCCAAATAAATTTGTTAGTCTCTAAAGTGATTCAAAACCAATTCTTTTTTGTTTAGCATGTGCATCTCATTGCCTTTTTAGCCAGCCTCAGCTGTATGATACTGAGATTAGCTAGGTAGTCAGATGAACTTTTTTTCCTTTCATTTTTACAAAAGACTTGGCTCCTGCTCTCACTGCAGTCACTGAGAGTTTTGCCACTGACTTCAGTGGAAGCATATCAGGCCCAAATGGAAAGTTAATACATTTAAACATATACGGTGAAAGAGGGACAAAAAATTGACACAAAAAATACAAACGAAGCAAAGTTAAGGTTGCTTGTGTAGCTTCAGCTCTGGCATTTTCTGTCTGAGTGGTTAGCTGAGCAACCAGAACATTCTCAAGAAGGGGATAAAATTGCTTTACACTTTGCTGTCTAAGACACGATTGAACCACAATCCTGTGTTCAGAGCCACATGAGTGAATCCAATTGGAGGACGGGGGGGGGGGGGTGTATTTTCTAGCATTTTTGATGCTTCTGCATTTCTTTTTTTCTTGCAGTATTGATTGGATTTGTTGGTTCATCTAGTCAAGTATCCTGCTTCCAGTAAGGGCCATTACTAGATGCTTCAGAGGAAGGCTAAAAAGTCCATAATGTACCTAAACCAATTGTGCAATGCTGAACTCCCCCCACCCCCCCCAAAAAAATTCCTGCTAGATCCCAAACAGTAATGAGAACATGAAAGTGGATGAAATAAACTTCACGCATGTTCTCTAATCTTTAAAGACTTTGGAGTCCCAGGATAAACAGGTGCTAGATAAATATAATTGTGTTATTTTTTACTACTTAGAATTAGTGGATTGCATCACAAAGGAAAATGCATTTTTAACAAAAACATACCCTGCCTTGTTCAACACATTTTGTTAACATAACAATAGCATAGATATTTTTTTCCCAAATCATGCGCCAGAAGTCTTGCACAGTGTTGGGTAAGGGGCCTTGTGCAGCAATAAATTCTTTCTTGGAGTTGTATCCCTAAAATAAAAATAAAACCACATAACTATTTTTAATGATCAGATAAGAACAACATTTTTAAAGCTTCACATAACTTTATAAGTCTGTCAAAAAACAGACCCAATTTTTAATGTTAATGATTTTAGTATACTTACGGGCATATAATTTGCATTAATATAATCATCAGTTGGATGGTTTTGGATCGAAAGTTTAACACGGGAAATGTCATCTGCAAACAAAAAAGTGTTTGTTAGGATTTTAAACTTTTTGCAAAATACTACGTATGTTTAAAACAGGAGCCCTGAATAAAGGCTTCAAAATCAATATGTATTTTTAAAATTAGAATATATGTTACTATAGGAATCAGAAATAGGAAGGTTTTATAATCTAGAATAGATTTAGTGAATGATGTCTATAAAAGATAAGTGTTCAGCAAAATAAAATTAATTTTCAGAATATTGATCAAACTGATTATTTTTAATATGGACTATATAGTATGTGTGCATGTGCAGAAGACAGGCAGTTTTCAAATGCCGTACAATTTAAAGCACAGATGAATGGGTATATAAGGAGTGATAAAGTATAAGCTATTTCGTTAGGAGACAGTAGTATACATATATATCAATTTAGAATAAAATACATGGATCGCATTGTAAGATTTCAAGAAGTGTGAAATAAATAGAATAAATCTAGGGTTTATAGGGCACATTGCTCAAATGACATCAGTAATACAGAACATGAAATTTAGTGTCCTTTAATTTACACCCACAAGTATATAAATGCTTTCTCCCAGGGCTGTCCCTACCAAATATGGTGCCCTATGCAGCCCAAGCACCAGCTCCCTCCACTCCCCGCAGAGGGTCTGGGCTGCGCTCAAGGCCTGCGGGGCTGAGGAGGCAGGAGCTGTGGGGGGCCACTTTGGGGGGTCCCACAGACCCAGAGTGGCCTGGGGGATTTGCGGAGGGCCTGGCGTCAGCAGCAGGAAGTGGAATGACCCGGCCCGCTCCCCTCGCCCCAGCTGTGTCACTTGGGTGGAGGGGTTGGGGAAAGGACCGCACTCACCGGCAGCGGGAAGCGGAGCAACACGGCTGGGAGCTGGCAGAGTGGAGCGGGCTGGAACTGGGTTGCTTTGCTTCCCACTGCTGCCGGTGAGTGAGGGGTCGGCCAGCAGGGCC